GGGGACAGGGGGACAGGGGACAGAGGGACAGGGGACAGGGGACCGGGGACAGGGGGGCAGGGGGACGGGGGGGAGTCAGGGGGACAGGGGACAGGGGGGACAGGGGACAGGGAGGAGTCAGGGGGACAGGGGGCGCAGGGAAGGGTCAGAGTGGGCAGAGGGGCAGCAAGGGGGCAGTGAGGGGTCAGTGGGGTCAGGAAAGGGTCAGCAAGGGCAGGGGGTCAGGGAAGGGTCAGAGAGGGGTCAGGGAGGGGTCAAGGAAGGATCAGGGTGGTCAGGGAGGAGTCAGGGGTCAGGAGGGGTCAGTGTGGATAAGGACAGGTCAGGGTGGTCAGGGAAGGGTCAGCGTGGGCAGAGAGGGGTCAAGGAAAGGTCAGGGAGAGGTCAAGGAGGGGTCAGGGAAGGGTCAGCATGGGCAGCAAGGGGACAGGGAGGGGTCAAGGAAGGATCAGGGTGGTCAGGGAGGGGTCAGCAGAGGTAAGGAGGGGTCAGTGTGGGTCAGCAGGGGTCAGGGTGGGTAAGGAGGGGTCAGGGGCACAGCCCCCCTGCCGGGGAGGACCCATGGCTAAGACAAAGCCCCACAGGCTGGAGAGATGCCCAAGGACAGGGATCTCCTGTGCCTCCAGCCCCGGCACCAGCCGGCTCCTGTGTGCTCCTCCAGAGCCTCCAGAGCCGAGCCAGGGAGGGCTGGGGTGCATCCCAGGAAAAGGATTTCCATCCAGAGGGTGTCTGAGCACTGGAACAGCTCCCCAGGGAATGGGCACCGCCCCAGGGCGGCCTGAGCTCCCAGGGTGGGATTTGGGCTCTGTGCAGGGCCAGCAGCTGCACTCCGTGGTCTCGATGGGTCCCTTCCAGGCCAGCACATTCCATCATTCCATGATCCCATACAAACTCCCCATGGTGCTGCTGCAAGGGCTGGACTCGACCTTAAAGGTATTTTCCAACCTTAGCAATTCCCTGATCCCACATCCTGTTAAGCTGGGCTTTACCCACGCCCCACTGGGAAGCCCAGGGTGGCTCAGGGTGACACAGCAGTGACCCCAGGGTGTCACCCTGAGCCAGGACACACAGCAGTGACCCCAGGGTGTCACCCTGAGCCAGGACACACAGCAGTGACCCCAGGGTGCCAGTCCATCCCTCCAGCACCTCCCAAATTGGGATGGAAATACCAATTATCCCAGCCAAGCAGAGGGAAAACCGAACCCTGAGGAGGCACGGGAGGGAAGTGCTGAGCACAGGCACCGGGGAGTTCCCACCCTGGCAGGAAGATCAGTGCCCAGAGCCCCCTGTGCTCACCCCGTGTTTCACTGTCTTGGCAGCGTGTGCAGCTTTCTTCTTGGTGTCGTAGGGCGTGAGGATGTCGATGATGGCCATGAAATAAACCTCCTTCCTGGGGGCACCTGTGAGGCACGAGAGGGGCTCAGACCCCTGGGCACTTCCAGCTTCATTCCCAGCTCCAGAAACACCCCCAGCTTCATCCTCACCTCCAGAAACAGCCCCTGGGCACCTCCAGCTGCATCCCAGCTCCAGAAACACACCCTGAGCACCGTCAGCTCCATTCCCACTTCCAGAAACAGCCCCTGGGCACCTCCAGCTCCATCCTCACCTCCAGAAACACCCCCAGATTCATCCTCACCTTCAGAAACACCCCCAGATTCATCCTCACCTCCAGAAACACCCCCAGATTCATCCTCACCTCCAGAAACACCCCCTGGGCACCCCCAGCTCCACTCCCACCTCCAGAAACACCCCCTGGGCACCTCCAGCTGCACCCCAGCTCCACAAACACCCCCTGGGCACCTCCAGCTCCGTTTTCCCCTCCAGGAACACCGGCAGGGCCGGTTTGGGGCATTTCACAGGGACAGCCAAGGCAGCTGGAGGCTGCAGAAGGGCAGAGATGTCTGCACCAGCCCACCAGAGGCTCTCTGAATGTGCCACCCCTCTCCAGGCATCACCATCCCTGTTCCAGCCAGCACCAGGAACTGCCCAGCAGAGCAGAGGCGCTGGGTTGGGACAGCCCTGCCACCCTGGGACAGTCCTGCCACCCTGGGACAGCTGACACCACTTGATTTGACCTTCCCTGCCACTCTGGGACACCTTCCCTGTCACCCTGGGACAGTCCTGCCACCCTGGGACAGCCCTGCCACCCTGGGACACCTTCCCTGCCACCCTGCTGAGCTTGGGACAGCCCTGTCCTCCATCCTTCCTCCACAGCTCCCCACAACTCCCTCACACCTGCTTTTCATCCTTCCTGCACACCTTCCCTGACCTCCACAGCTCCCTCAAAGCTCCCCACAACTCCCTCACATCTGCCCTGCCCTTCATCCTTCCTGCACACCTTCCCTGCCCTCCACAGCTCCCCACAGCTCCCCTGCCTTCCATCCTTCCCCCACAGCCCCCCACAGCCGCCCCCACTCACTCTCGTGGCTCTTCATGGCGTACACATCCACGGAGGGGTCGAACTCCCCGGGCCCGAAGAAGCGGGGGTAGTTGAGGAGGTTGCCGGGGCTGTCGGGGGGGGTCCCGTAGGAGGAGATGGGGTTCCCCCCCAGCCCGTCGTTCTCGCACTCCTCGTCCTCTGCCCGCTCCTCCACCTCCATCTCCTCCTGCTCGGCCCGGTCCACGTCGTGGATGCCCACCAGCAGGCTGTAATCCATGATCTTCAGCTGGGCTAAAAACTGGGAGAAAGGCGGGAGGGAGGGAGAAGGTTGGGAATGCTCGGCCCTGGCCCGCGGCGCCTCCCCAGGCACGGCTGGAGGCAGCGAGAGACGAAGCCCCGGCGGCTCCAGGGGAGCTGTGTCGCCCTGAGAACTCAGCTTCTGAGCTTGCTAACATGGTTTCCTAAAGACTTTCCCAGGACAGTGACTGTAAACATAGATATGTGTACATTCTTTCTGTTCCACGCCTTGTGATGGGCATCTCTCATGGCCAGTGCAGTGAGAAAGTGTTATCCTGACCATCCAAGCCCTGGCCGTGGGCAGGAGCCTATAAATCCTGGGAGGAAAAATAAACTTTCTCTTCCTTTCACCACACCTGGACCTGTGTCCGTGTGATCTATTCATCTTCAGCGGCAACAGAGCTGCAGATGCAGCAACAGAGGCCCCCAGCAGATGCAGGAAGGAGCTGTGCAGCCCCTGCTGCAGCCCTGGAGCTGAGGATGAGGTGATGGGACACAGAGCAGGGCTGTCCCCCAGGAAACTCACCTCCACGTCCCGCTTCAGCTTCTCCAGGAAGTTCTTTTTACTGTCTTCTCCAACGTGCAGCTTCTGACCCTCATTCAAGAAGTCATTGTCCTTGAAGGTTGGGAGATCCTTGGCCTGTAAGGAAAAGCCTGAGGTCAAACTGGCCAGGCTGCTGCCAGGGGAGGGGCTGGAGCTGCCTCGGCTCAGCCTGGGCTTTTTGGGCTGCCCAAAATCCACCGAGGATGGAAAAGGCATCGGGCAGAGCACAGGGAAAAGGGAGCTCAGCTGGATCCTGTCTGCTTCCACCAGCAGAAAGGAAAGCCCAGGGATGGCTCCATACCTTCTCCTTGTCACTTGCTTCCCTGGATACTGTTGAGCCCTGATAAAGAAAAAAAAAATTAAATATAATTTCTGCACTATGGGTCATATTCCAAATGAATTCATTGACACCACTTGATTTGTTCATGCAGGAAAACAATGAAAGCAAAATAAAAAAAATATTTCTGTACTATGGGTCATACTCCAAATGAATTCATTGACACCATTTAATTTCTCCATGCAGGAAAACAATGAAAGCCAAACAAATAAAGAAAATATCATTTCTGCACTATGGGATCTTTCCCGAGCACAGAGGAAGCTCCCAGCAGATTCTCTCAATGAAATCACTTCCACGAAGAAGTGATTCCATTCCATTCTTTCCCCAAATGTCCATCAATGTGGAATATTCAACGTGAAATGTAATCAATGTGAATATTCCAAATGAATTCATTGACACAACTTGATTTGTTCATGCAAGAAAACAATGAAAGTAAAATAAATAAAGAAAATATTTCTGTACTATGGGTCATATTCCAAATGAATTCATTGACACCACTTGATTTGTTCATGCAGGACAACAATGAAAGTAAAATAAATAAAGAAAATACATTATAGCACTATGGGTCATATTCCAAATGAATTCATTGACACCATTTAATTTCTCCATGCAGGAAAACAGTGAAAGTAAAATAAATAAAGAAAATATTTCTGCACTATGGGTCATATTCCAAATTACATCACTGATACCAGATAATTTCTCCATGCAGGAAAACAAGGAAAGTAAAATAAATAAAGAAAATATCATTATAGCACTATGGGTCATATTCCAAATGAATTCACTGATACCAGATCATTTCTCCATGCAGAAAAACAATGAAAGCACTTTTAAAATCAATGCTCAACCCCCTTCTGGCTCCTGGGATGGAGGAATGGACCAACACTGATCCTCCACCCACAACCTCCCCAAACCCCATCCCCTGAGCAAACCCCAAACGCCAGGACCCTGCCGAGGGTGGGGGGGGTTCCAGGCCCAACCCCGAGCTCTGGGGGAGCCCCCAGCCTCCCCAGAACCTCACCTTCAGGTCGTACTTCCTGTGCACGGTCAGCCTGTGGCTGAAGACGTTCCTGGTGACCACCATGTAGGTCTCCACGCCGTCCACGGTCAGCCGGTACATGCCCAGGAACTGCGGCAGCAGCGTGTTGCCGTGGCACTCCACGATGAACTGCAGGGAAAGGTGTGTCACACACGGCTCTGGCACCGCTCAAACGCAGCCAGAGGCTGCGGAAAAGGCACCTGGCGCCCCTGGGAAAGGGAAGGAGGCCTGGAACAGCTCCTGGAGCCTCCAGGGAAGGAGTGGGAGTGGTGAGAATCCTGTTCCCTGAGACAGGGAGTGCTGTCCTGCCCGTGGCAGGGGGTCAGCTGGGAGATCTCCAAGGTTCATCCCAACCCAACTCTGGGATTCTGTGACTGTGTGTGGAGCTGGGAGATCTCAAAAGTTCTTCCAAGCCAAATCCTGGGATTCTGTGACTGTGTGTGGAGCTGGGAGATCTCAAAAGTTCCTCCAAGCCAAATCCTGGGATTCTGTGACTCTGTATGTGAAGGAACTGGGAGATCTCCAAGGTTCATCCCAACTCAGCTCTGGGATTCTGTGACTGTGTGTGTGGAGCTGGGAGATCTCAAAAGTTCCTCACAATCCAATCCCGGGATTCTGTGACTGTGTGAAGGAGTTGGGAGATCTCCAAGGTTACTGCAGCCCAACCCCGGGATTCTGTGACTCCATGTGTGGAGCTGGGAGATCTCAGAAGTTCCTCACAATCCAGCCCTGGGATTCTGTGACTGTGTGGAACTGGGAGATCTCCAAGGTTCATCCCAACCCAATCCTGGGATTCTGTGACTGTGTGAAGGAGCTGGGAGATCTCCAAGGTTCCTGCAGCCCAATCCCAGGATTCTGTGACCCCGTGTGCACTGGCAGTGCCCAATTTCACTTCTCCAGGGTGCCTGGGTGCAGCTGGAGCTCAGGGCCTGCAGAGCAGGTGGGCTGGAAGCAGGACATGGACCAGGACATCTCCAGCTGTCCCACTGCTCCCAGCTCCAGCCCCTCTGCAAAGCCTGAGGCAATGAACGAGGAGCCTTTTCACAGCTCTGAGCCACCAGGGACCCATCATTTATTGATACAAGGGCCAGCATCAGCTGGGAAGGGGCTCAGCCCCACAAACAGCTGACAGGTTACCCCTCAGATTTTTTATCCCTCAGATTTTTTATCCCTCAGATTTTTATCCCTCAGATTTTTACCCCTCAGATTTTTACCTCTCAGATTTTTTATCCCTCAGATTTTTGTCCCTGATTTTTACCCCTCAGATTTTTACCCCTCAGATTTTTATCCCTCAGATTTTCACCCCTCAGATTTTTACCCCTCAGATTTTTGTCCCACAAAATTTTACCCCTCAGAATTTTGTCCCTGATTTTTATCCCTCACATTTTTACCCCTCGGATTTTTTGTCCCTGATTTTTACCCCTCAGATTTTTACCCCTCAGATTTTACCCCTCAGAATTTTACCCCTCAGATTTTACCCCTCAGAATTTTGTCTCTCAGATTTTTACCCCTCAGATTTTACCCCTCAGATTTTACCCCTCAGAATTTTACCCCTCAGATTTTTGTCCCTCAGTTTTTTGTCCCTGATTTTACCCCTCAGAATTTTGTCTCTCAGATTTTTACCCCTCAGATTTTTGTCCCTCAGACCCGATGGACCCTGTTTTATTTCCCAGACCCGCCGTGCGAGCTGTGCCAGCCGCGGACCCCCGGGCGGTGGCCGGGCGGGCGCGGGGGGCTCCAGACTCACCGTACCTGGTGGTATTTCTTGAGGATGTTGTGCATCTCCGCCACGTCCTCGCTGGACACCGCCTTGATGACGAACCTCCTGTCGTAGGTGGTGAGGAAGCGCGCGCCGCAGCGGCCCTGGCTGTCGCTGTTCACCGGGGCGCTGCGCGTCACCGAGTTCTGCGCGACACACACGGCGAGGGGAGGCTGCCGGGAGCTGCCTCTGCCCTCGGCTGTGGGGCCGGCCCCATAGAGACCCCCGGGAAGGAGGGCCAGCCCCACAGAGACCCCCATAGAGACCCCCTGAGCAGCTCCAGGAAGCAGGAACAGCCCCACAAGCAGCCCTGGGAAGCAGGACCAGCCCCATAAAGATCCCCTGGGCAGCTCTGGGAAGCAGGGCCAGCCCCATAGAGACCCCCATAGAGACCCCCCTGGGAAGCAGGGCCAGCCCCATAAAGATCCCCTGAGCAGCTCTGGGAAGCAGGGCCAGACCCACAGAGACCCCTGGGCAGCTCCAGGAAGCAGGATCAGCCCCATAAAGATCTCCTGAGCAGCTCTGGGAAGCAGGATCAGCCCCACAGAGCACCCTGGGAAGCAGGGCCAGCCCCATAAAGATCCCTTGAGCAGCTCTGGGAAGCAGGGCCAGCCCCACAGAACCCCCTGAGCAGCCCTGGGAAGCATGGCCAGCCCCATAAAGATCTCCTGAGCAGCTCTGGGAAGCAGGATCAACCCCATAAAGATCCCCTGAGCAGCTCCAGGAAGCAGGGCCAGCCCCACAGAATCCCCTGGGCAGCCCTGGGAAGCAGGGCCAGCCCCATAGAACCCCTCGGGAAGCAGGACCATCCCCACAGAACCCCCTGGGAAGCAGGGCCAGCCCCATAGAACCCCTCGGGAAGCAGGGCCAGCCCCACAGAACCCCCTGGGAAGAAGGGCCAGCCCCACAGCACCAGCTCAGGGCACCCACTCCAGCTGGGAACTCTGGGGTTGGTGCTGCTGAGGGTAAAACCCAATTATTTAAAAGTCTGGACATGTTTTTAGGGCTTCCACATGATTTGCTGGCACGTTTTTTTTACCGAAGGGTTTTTTAGAGATGTAGGATACACAGGCCAGGAGCTCTCAGCATTTCCTCTCAGGGATTTAGGAACAGTCAGGATATTTCTAAGGCTTAAGGAAAATCAGACCAAAACAACTGGAATGGCCTGTTGGCTTTCCCATCAAAAAGCAGCTTAGTCTGGCCAAAGTCTCGGTGTTTGGGGACTCTTCACAGGCCATCCTGCACCAAAAGCTGCTCTTACCCCTGGACCTACGAGATGAGTATAAACAGCTTGGTTGTCCTTCTGACAACCAGCAGCATCTGCCTGTAGATCCCTGTCTCCATCCCTTAGCAACCAGCAGGGCTGGAAAATCCCAGGAAAACTGCAGGGATCAATTCCCTGAGCCACAACACCGGCTCTTTGTTCTGCTGCCTCTCCCCAGGTAGCGGGGCTGGCTGCGAGCTCCTCCCTCAGCCCCAGCTGTCACCTGTCCCCCGTCTGTCCCCACAACCCCTCACCAGCATCTCCTCATCACAGGTGGGGAGGGCTCTGAGATCACCCACAGTCATCCTCAGCAAGTTTTCCATCGTTTCTGGGCTGGATGTTGTGTTTCAGGCTGGATTATATTTATTTTTTTTTCATTTATATGTATTTTTTTTTATTAGTGGCACTGCTGTGTCCCCTTCCCTCGGCTCTGGCAGCAGAGGGAGCCTGCAGCAGATCCTGCTCCGAGAGATTGACCACGTCATGCTGCAAGTGAGCCCGGAGGTTTCCTTTCAGAACAAAGCATTTAAAGCTTTTAAAACTTTAATGAAGCGGGGGAAAAACTCTGCTGCTGCCAACGGCTCCAGAAAGCGTCGGGAAAATAAAGGCAAACAGAAAAATCGCCTTTGCTGCTGGCTGACATTTGCCAAGGGGTCTGTGCCAGGCAGTTTAATCAGCCCTCACCTCAAAACCGCAGAGATTTTCTTGTGGGGCTGGGAAGCAGAAATCGTGACCACACAGAGCATCACCAGGTTCCCTCGGCTCCCCTGCGCTGCTCTGCCACAGCTGGGTGTGAAATTCAGCCTCTGCTCCCACCCTGGCCACCCCCTGACACACCTGTGGAAGCCCTGGGCCAGTGGAAGCCCTGGGCCTGTGGAAGCCATGGGTCTGTGGAAGCCCCGGGAAGCCCTGGGCCTGTGGGAAGCCCTGGGCCTGTGGAAACCATGGGTCTGTGGAAGCCCCAGGAAGCCCTGGGCCAGTGGGAAGCCCTGGGTCTGCGGAAGCCACTAGCCCAGGGAAGCCACGGGCCTGTGGAAGCCCAGGGCCTGTGGAAGCCATGGGAAGCCCTGGGCCAGTGGAAGCCCCGGGAAGCCCTGGGCCTGTGGAAGCCCTGGGCAGCCCTGGGCCTGTGGAAGCCCTGGGCCAGTGGAAACCCTGGGCCAGTGGCAGCCCTGGGCCCGCAGGCGCAGCCGGCGGCGCTGCCCGTGCCCCGCTGGCCGTGCCCCGCTGGCCGTGCCCTGCTGTCCGTGCCCCGCTGTCTGTGCCCCGCTGTCCGTGCCCCGCTGTCTGTGCCCTGCTGGCCGTGCCCCGCTGTCCGTGCCCTGCTGTCTGTGCCCTGCTGGCCGTGCCCCGCTGGCCGTGCCCCGCTGGCCGTGCCCCGCTGTCCGTGCCCTGCTGTCCGTGCCCCGCTGTCCGTGCCCCGCTGTCCGTGCCCCCCTG